TACAGGAAATCCCAGGGATTATAAGGAATATGTAAAGTGAGACCACGAGGAAACTATCACACAAATCTAGAAGGTTGGACATTCCAAAAAACAAGTCTCCCAAGCTTCTCCACAAGCCAAAGTCATGCAGAGAAAGGAGGAGGGGGAAAGGGGCTTGTTCTAGCTTAAAAGAGACTTGAGATCCACAGCAGCAAAGTGCAACGTGTGTTCCTTGTTTGGATCCTTGTTTGAATAAACCAGATATAAAAGAAAGTTGGTGGAAAGCTGGGTGTTAGATGGTAATAGAAATTCCTGAAATTTTGTTATGTTTGTTACATAGGAGAATGTTTTTATTTATTGGTGATAAAGGTTCATTGTACTATTGTTTCTACTTTTCACTGTGTTTATTTTTGTTGAAGTATAGTCAATTTACAATATTGTGTTAGTTTCAGGCGTACAGCAAAGTGATTCTTTTTTGCATATTATATTTCATTATAACTTATTACAAGAGATTGGGTATAATTCCTTGTGCTATACAGTAAATCCTTGTTGCTAATCTACTTCACATATAGTAGTTTGTATCTGTTAATCTCATACTTTTAATTTGTCCCTTCCCACCTCTTTGGTAACCATAAGTTTGTTTTCTATATCTGTAGTCTGTTTCTGTTTTATATAGATTAATTTGTATTATTTCTTAGATTTTACACATAAGTGATAAAGTATGCATTTTTTCATGACTTATTTCACTAAGCATAATATTCTCTAGGTCCATCCATGTGGCTGCAAATGGCAATATTTCATTCCTTTTTATGGCTAAGTAATAATTCCATTATATATGTGTATATATACACACCACATCTTCTTAAGCCAATCATCTGTTGCTAGGCATTTGGGTTGCTTCAATGTGTTGGTTATTGTAAATTGTGCTGCTATGAACACTGAGTGCATGTATCTTTTTGAATTAGAGTTTTCATTTTCTTTGGTTATGTCTACCCAGGAGTAGAATTGCTGGATCATATGGTAGTTCTATTTTTAGTTTTTTAAGGAGCCTCCATACTGTTTTTCATAGTGGCTGTACTTTCTGAAATGTATTTTAAATATTTCATCATTAAAAAGGTCTCTGGGAATGGAGCAGAGGCACGGGAAGAGTTATGCTTTCACCAGGAGCAGCATGAGATGTTTCTATTGCTTTCTGTTATAACAAATGAGTTACTGTTCAAGACATGAGAGGTGAGATAAGCAAATAATATAAGCACAAAGTTACACAAAATGAAACAGACTGTATTTTCAAAGTGTGTTGTAGAATTTAATTTCATTTGCTTCCCTCTGAGATGGGGATAACACAGGGAGTCTTAAAATAGGAATACTTACTACAAAAGTTCAACTGCACAGGAGGAGAGAGGAGATAATCACAATGCATATTAATTGCGGACCTATCACATGCCAGGCACCATGCCAAGTATTAGAGATACTGCAAGAAAATCCAGTGTCGTCCCTGCCACAGTGGGATGTCCTCTCTGGAGGGAAAGACAGACAAAACTTGCCAACAGACAAAACAGGAGCAATTCCTCTTACGGGGGAAACAAACAAAGGCTGAGAAAGAGACCAGGTGTGATGGTCAGGAAAGGGGTCTCCTGGAGGCATGCTCAGGCTGAGCCCTACGAGAGGAGGAGGAGTCAGCGAGAGGAAAGGTGAAGAGAAGGGCAATCCAGGTGGAGGAGACTGTGTGCAAAGGTCCCAGCGGGGGGACCAAAGAACACCAGGGTGACATAGGTGTGGTGAGCTAGAGAAAAAGCTTTTAAGCCATGGCAAACAATTTAGACTTTTTTCCTAAGTGTGATGGGAATCCATATTCAGTAGTATTCATTTCTTTTGAAATATCCCATGTTTAAAGAAGATTTAAGGACAGTGCTAAGACACCGAAAGCTCAGGAACCACGTGTCCCAAACTCTAGCCACACTCAGTGTAAACACTCAACCACTCAGTATAACCCCTTCAGTTCTTCTGATTGGATACCTCCTACCTACCAGTATGGCCACCTGATACTCAGTTGGTGGATTAGAAATCTATCGCGGGCTAACAAATGATCTCAAAATGTAACGACTTCAGCCAATAATAAATACTATCTCAGAGTTTCTGGGGGGCAGGAATTCAAAAGCAGCTTTGCTGTCTGGTCTGGTTCTGGGGCCTCTCATGCAGCTTGAGTCCAGATGTTGGTGGAGGCTGTGGTCTCTGGAAGGCTTGGTTGGAACTGGGGGAGCCCCTGCCAACATGGCTCCCTAACATGGCTCTTGTCAGGAGACCTCACTTTCCTGCTCCGTGGTCCTCTTCTGAGACCCTCTTGAGCATCCTCATCACGTGCCAGTTGACTTCCCTTAAGTAAGTGATCTGAGTAAGAGAGTAAGGAGGAAACCCAGTGCTCTTCATAACCTAGTCTTGGACACAACACTGTCACTCCTGCCTCCCTAAGAGATGCGTTACCATGTCCAGCTCACACTCAAGGGAGGTGACTTAAGTCCCACCTCTTGAAAAAAGGGGATTCAAAAAACTTGTAGCATTGTTTTTGTTTTGTTTTTTAATTTTGGGGTCAGTAATTAGGTTTATTTAGTTTTTTTTTTAAATGGAGGCACTGGGGATTGAACCCAGGACCTCATGCATGCTAAGCATGCATTCTCCTGCTGAGATATACCCTCCCCCTCAAATTTGTGGACATACTTTAAAACCACGATGCTCAGTGACCCAACTCCAATGGCATCCTCTATGTGAAGGCTTCCATGATTTTCCTGAACAGAGCTAGTCCCTCACTTCTCTCAGGTTTCAGAGCATTTCATTTCCATCTCTTACAGCTCTGGCCTTGTTTATTGAAATCTCCTGACATGTCTATCTTTCTCACTAGATTCAAAGCTTCTTTAAGCCAAGGGAACGTGTCTCCTTGATCATCAGCATCCTCAAATCTGCTCATTAGTGACATTCTCAGACCACCAGAGAACACCACCATCTGCCACTCCTAAGGCAGGGATTTTAAAAGCCCCTGCCACTCAGTGCTTTTCTTGCCTCTCTTTTCTCTTGGTTTACTCTTCATATTATATGTAGGCATATCTTCTCAACTGGATGATAAACTCCAAAAGTAAGACTATCTTAGTTATCTCTCTTTTGAAAGTCCTCATATCACAAAAGGAATTGCTCTGTATTATAATAATTAATATCTTTTTTAAAGAATTAAATGAGAGAGGGCCTTGTACAGTTAAAAAAAAATCTTTCCAGCTTCTTTAGTAATCAGAATATCTACTGGCTCACTCAGCTCTATGTAAACTCGAATAAAGAAAAGTAACCTCAGTTTATAATGCATAAAACATGCAGTGTTGCTAAAGAACTCTGGAGCACAAGGGGTCTTCTGTTTTTCTGGCTCCCTTACTGCCTGGGAGAATCAAAACCTGACATGGCGAGGGTCTCCTTCACATGCAGTGGAAAGACTATGACAGCTTTCTCTAAACGTGAAAAGCCATATTCCCTTCCCTGGTTACAAAAGATCATCCTGTCCTTGGTCTTAGTTAAGAGAATGTTATCAATTCAAGTAGTTTTATCCAGACTGAGGTGGAGGCCTGGATGGCCTTGGTACTCATGACTAGACATCTTGAGACATCATGAGAAGTCTTCTGGGGCAGATTTCTTTCGGTTTAGGAGACAAGGTTTGACCAGCTCTGAGCCTGTGACTGGCCCAGCGTCGGGGCAGTGGGGGAGAGGTGAGCAGAGGATGGAGTGTCGCCTGCCCCTCAGCCCTGCTTCACCTTGACAAGGAAGTTCTTCCTCATGGTCCCTCATTAAAGAATCAAGATGACAGCACGTTAAAGCTAAAGAAAAATAATGGAAGAGCCTTCAGCAAAACAGCCAGTGCAGCATGTTAGAGAGTCACTTTCTTCTCAAAAGGAAAAAGTGAATGCAAATCAACTCCTTTCCTTCCAATCTCTGCCCTGTAAAGACAGAACGCCTTTGCCGGGACAAAACTGCTGGCTTTGATGGGCCTCTTCTGGTTCTAAGAAGATAATCTAGTCACACTAAGTCAATGAACAGGGAAGCCCAGAGCATGGTGCCTGGCCCACAGCAGGCTCTGATGGTTGTCATGATGATGCTGGTTGGATTCTCCGGTACTGTGACAGCTAAACTGTCATGAAATTCCTGGACATCTTTGCTCCAGAAAGAGAGCAAATAGGTCTTGAAAGAAGAATCAGGGAGTCTGGATTTCACTGAGTGGTATTTATCTGGCTTTGACACATTCACATTTTGCATGTCTCAATTAAACAGAACAGTCAACTTGAAAGAAAGAACTAGGCTTTTAAAGATGCTTGAAAGAGGTGCATCCTGGGAAACCTGTTCTCCCCAGGGGAGTGCGGCAGGAGGACTCTTGAGAGAGAAAGACACTTCCACCCTTCCAAGTGAGGATAGAAGACAGAGGTGTTTGTCTCACACAGGAGCTGACAGCATAAATGACTGTCTTCTTTGTTAAATCGGTTTCTGAAACATGTTAGGACCTTGCCTGGCTGTTGCCTGAAAGGGCGGAGGTAAGAGAATAAAACTGCAAATTGCTGGTTAGTTATCCAGTGTTCGAGTTTTGACAAATCTGGAATTCACACTAACGTTATATTTAATTTCAAATTTAATGTGAACTCCGGAAAAACCTGAAATCTTGGTAACTACGAATGAAATGGTAAATGAATTTAAAATTAAATGCAGGAAGATCGAGTTTAAAAGGAAAATCATTTCAGTTAATACAGACTCTCCCCTGTGGTTTCTTTTCTCAGTCAACTGAAAAAGTTTAATCACGTGCCTTTAATTAAAGCTCCGCACCCACGGAGAAGCACAAAGTGGACTCTGTTTCACTTAGACAAGGGTGTCCAATGGTTCTGCTGCTAGAAAATTGATATTTAATAACATACATTTCTAACAGAGACTCCCATTTTGTTTCGAATAGTGAGAAAACTGAACCTTGCTGATGGGGAAACAGCCTTAAATATCTCTTCCTTTTTTTGGTTTTTTGTTTTTATCTTTCACAATGATATGACTGGTGCATTCTTAACTTAGCCTGAGCATATTTAACATAACGGTCTGGTGGGATGAGCACTCTGAACTTCATTTGCAAAGAAACACCAATTTCTCCAACTACCCCCAGACCAACTAGGAGAATTCACACGATAAGCACAGATGCTGCACTAGGAAGAGAAAGGCGAGGAGAGCGGAGGGCTGCATCAGGCCAGAAGGTGTGCTGAGCGAGTGCCGGGGCCCTCAGTTCTAGCCCAGCCCTGCTGGGAACAGTCTGTAAACTAAGACAAGCCATTCCCCGCTGTGGTCTCCATTTCCTTCTCTAGACCTTGAGTGGGCTGACTAGATGGCTCATAAGACGTAGCTAATATCTAGTGAGTCTTGCACATCTGTATGGGGCAAGGTTCCATGATGTCCAGCGTGATGTAGAGCATAGGCAAGACTTGGAGCAAGTCTGGTGCAAGACAGTCTTGGCTCAGAGTGACTCTTCGGTTAAGTGACTCACTGCCCCATTCCTCATCTATAAAATGGGACTGATAATGGACCCCACGTTATAGGGCCTGCTGTGAGGTTTAAATATGATAATACCCCTAAACTCCTTAGAATAGAATCCAGTGTAAATGTTAGCTGACATCTGATTTAAAAAATATTTCCCTCCCCAGATCGATTTTCCTGAGTTCAGGGCTTTTGCCTGGCTACCACCCCCAACTGCCTGGAGCGTCCGTATGTTCCCTGTGAATACTTTGTGACTTTTATTATTCCGTGGAGTGTTTGCTGGATGTTCTGCATGGCTATTAGAGCTCTGATTTTCAAGCTGTGAAAAAATAAAGTGAAACTTGTTAGAGAGAAAAGCCTTAAGCTTTGAATACCTCTAATGTTCCTTGGTTTTAATCTCCCGTGCAGTGGCTGCTGTTTAATGCCTCTGCATGGCATCAAGTATCAGGATCTGAAGATTAAACATCAGGATCTCAAGGGTGGTATTAGAAATGCTACTGGTGGCTCCCACGGCTTTGGCAAGTCATGGACCTAGACCCCAAGTCAAAGGCATTTATTCACGCACTCATTCACTTGCAAGTTTTTATTAGGCACTTACTGTGTGTCAGTCACTGGACCAGAGAAATTATACATGATTTCTCCTTTAGAAGAGGTCAGAGCTGATGGGAAAGACAGATGAAAAAATTTATAATTTACCAAAGTGGTAAGTACTGTTGCCAAGACATGAACAAAATGCCCAGAGAACCGAGCAACTGAAGGAGTCTGAAAGTGACAACCGGGCAAGTGAAACCTTTGTCTGTGATTGTGTGTGTGTGTTTATCAGTCTGGACATTGCAGGGAGGGGCAGAGCAAAGGCATTGGGAAAGCGTTGAGGCCCATTGGGAGACACAATCTACGTCCCCAGGAAATAATTAGCTTTTTTTTTTTAAGTGGTGGGAGAGAGGGAACAAACTCATCTAACATCCCACTTTCTTCTGGGGATGAGAGCATTTATATCATATGTCCTGATGGCAAAGAGAATAGCTCTGTGGATACTTAAGTGTTAAGTCTGAAACTTAAAACAGGTGGATAATGATTTTGAGGCCCCCCAAATAACGTGGTGTAGCCACAGAGCAGCTAAATTCATCCTACAATGTGTGTAGCATGGGATGTATCCACAATTCCCCAATAGACTTTTTGAAGGCAGGCTTGAGAGTCAGGTAAAGAAGATGGGTGTTAGAATACGGAAGATAAACAGAAGGAGAATCCCACAAAATTAATACCATGAACACTCATCTGACTACCCCTAGATTCAACCATCATTAACATTTTTCCTTCACCATATGTGATTCACATATAGGTATTTATGTCTGTGTGTGCATATATGCATATTTTGGAATCATTTTTAAGAAAACTGCCAATACCACAATACAGAAATACTCAGCACACATACACATATGCCCCCCTAATAAGGACATTTTGCTATCTACCCAAACACCAGTATCACATCTAAAGGAATAAACAATAATTCCCTAATTTCTAATACTGAATTAACATTTATTTTCCCCTGGTTGTCCCAGATTATCTTTTATAGCTCTTTTTTGAAAGGTAAGGCAAATATGTATTTTTTAATGGGTGGCATAAGATTTTTGGACTCCTTAGACATAGACAAGCTTAATTTCTACTTTAAGCTGTATTTTGCCCTCTGCCAGATTTCTCTAAAGCCTGAAATATCACTTAGGCACATAAAGCTTGAGTGAAATGGGATTAATCTGCCAGCAAAGCCAAAGAAAAGAAAAGCTGGGATTTAGAAATCAGTGACATTCTAAGAGCCTCGGCCCTTTAGGCTGAGTCACTCGGAAAGACTGGTTTGCTTTTTTTCTATCAGAGAGCCCTGGAGAGATTAAATTGATGGTAAAACAAAAACGCTAGCAGATGACACGCTAACCCAGCTTTTCTTCTGTCTGACACTCCATAGTGAACTTGGGTATTTTAATCAAATGTTAGGAAATAAACAAAGAGTGAAGCAAGTACATTCTGACTGCTTTTCAAAATCATCTTTCCACACCTCAGCTCACCATCTCGCACCACCCAGGATTCAATCAGGGCTGCCACAAGTCCTGCCAGGCTCCATGCCCCAGACGCAAGACATCCTCCAAGCTGTGCTGTCTGGAGTTGCTCTGACTTCTGGGACATCAAAAAAAAAAGTTCATTTCACCAGGAGAACAGAAGCGATGATTGGAGGGAGAGGACCTCATACAGAATAAGAGAAGAATTTAAGACCAAAGGCTATTTGTTTAAAATGTTTTGAAATGATCTCCAGTTTAGAGATAAGTTACAAGTACAGGACAAAGAATTTTGTTCCAGAGCCATATGAGAGGACTTTGCCAAAGTGATGTCCCACGACCCCTAATATTTTATTCTCCTACGTAACCAAGACACATCTATCAAAATTAGGAAATTAACCCTGACATGTTTCTATGATCTAACACTCAGATCCTATTCAAGTTGTACCAAATTCCTATATAGCAAAAAAGATTCAGTTTTAAATCACATGTTGCCTTTAGTTGTCATGTCTCTTTAGTCTTTTCCAGTCTGGGACATACACACACATATATATATATATATACATATACACAATGAAATCCTACTCAGCCATAAAAGAGAATAAAATAATGCCATCTGCAGCAACACGGCTGGACCTGGAGATCGTCATTCTAAGTGAAGTAAGCCAGGAAGAGAAAGAAAAATACCATATGAAATCACTTGAAATGTGGAATCTAAAAAAGAGACACAAATGAAGTTATTTACAAAACAGAGACAGACGCACAGATATAGAAAACAAACTTATGGTTACCAGGGGGAAAGAGAGGGGTGGAGGGATAAATTGGGAGTTTGGGATTTGCAAATACAAACTACTATGCATAAAATAGATAAACAACAAGATCCTACTGTATAGCACAGGAAACTATATTCAATATCTTATAATGGTCTATAATGAAACAGAATATGGGAAAGAATATGGGTGTATATATATATGCATGACTGAGTCATCACTATGCTGTGCATCAGAAATTGATACAACATTGTAAACCAACTATACTTAAAAAAAATGAAACTCAAAACCAAAACACCCAAACCCCAAATTCTCCAATCTGGAAGAATCTCTCCATCTCTACTTGACTTTTGTGATCTTAAAATTTTTGAGGGCTGTGGACCAGTTGTTTTGTAGACTGTCCTCAGTTTGGTTTTGTTTCCTTGGGATTAGATTCAGATTGTGCATCTTCGGCAGGAATATCACAGAGGTGATGACGTGTTCTCTTTGCATCCTATTGGGTGGTGTGTGATTTTGAATTGTTGCACTGGTGATAATATTCACTCTGATAATCTGATTGAGGTGTCACCTGCCAAGCTGCTTTTATGTATGGCTACTCTTTCCCCTTTTGTAATTATTGACTATTTTGTGGGGAGGTACTTTGAAATAACATAAATGTCCCAGTCCTAATCAAACTTTAAGTTCATTCATTTCTTAATTTATGTCCTTAAGGTTTGTGTTTCCATTGGAGTCAATGGTTTGTCATCTCTTACCATTATTATTTATTTTGATGCTCAGATTGTCCCAGATTTTTCCAACGGCAGTCCTTTCAAGCCAACTCCTGTGTCCTTTAGACAAAGCCCCACCATTCTTTGAGCACTTCCTTTTTTCTGATACAAGATATATTCCAAACTTACCTTGTACTTTCCAGGCTCCAGCCCTGCATCAGCTGTTTCTCCAAGGAGCCTTGATTCCTTTTAATGGAGAATGGTGTTTAGAAGCTAGGTATGCTCCTTGCTATGGGGGTACGCTGTCCCCAAGATCTCTCACTGGACAGAACTAACTAATATGTAGGTAGACCATTTCCCTGTTGCTGCTGTAACAGACTACCACAAACACAGTGGCTTAACACAACACAAATTCATTATCTTACGGTTTTGGAGGCCAGAAGTCCTAAAATCAAGGTATCAGCAGGGCTGTATTCCTTCTGGAGGCTCCAGGAGAGTATTCATTTCCTGGCCTTTCTGGCTTCTACAAGCTGCCTGCATCCCTTAGCTCGTGGCCTCTTCACAAATGTCACTTGGCGAGGAGCCACAGCATCTTCCAATCACTCTCTCTTCCTCTCTGACCTCTGCTTTGGAGATCACAACACTGACCTCCTGGCTTCCAGTATAATCACAAGGACGATTGTGATTATACTGGATCCACCCAGATAGTCCAGGATACTCCTCCCTCTCAGGATACTTCAGCACATCTGCAAAGCCCCTTTTGCCACATAAGGTAACACATTCACAGGTTTGGGGCATTAAAATGTAGACATTTGGGGAGCCTGTTATTTTAGCTCCCACAGTATGTATGTGGGTATATATAGATTTATTTCTATATCTATATAAATGTATTTGAAACCGTAAGTTCACCTCTGATTCTGATCTAATAACTACAGGGTTAATTCCAGATTTCTCTGTTTCAATATTTGCAGCTTTCTTCACCAGTGAGAAATCTAGCTCCCTTTGTCCTTAATAAGTTACTTATTTGATTTATCGCCTCTATGTAGCCAGCCACTTATTCCACTTCCTGCCTCTTACCCACGGAGGGATGTCCCCCTGCTCGGCCTGGACTCTGATCTGTTTCCCTTGGCTGCCCTTTCCTCAGGGATGCCCTCCTCACTCCATGTGGACTCTGCCACTCTAAGCCAGCCTGCTCCCCCCCCTTCCCCCGGTGTGGACACCCTTCTCACCTGCTGGTGCTCCCACAGCCAGCTCTGATCACCTCTTAGTTGCTGGGCTCTGCCCCATCTAATAGTTTTAGGAGGAAATTGTTGCAAGGAGGAAGAATTAAAGTCCAAAAGCACAGTCTTAGGAAGGAGACAGGACACTGAAACTCTGATCCCACTAAGGGTGGGAAATGTGGGTTGCTGCCGTGGGATGGGGGTGGGGGGAGTGGGAAAGAGGTAGAAAGAAGGACACAATAGAAGACTTGAGGCCTGAGAAATACCGCTTGCTGGCATGGGCCCCGTTCTTGGGTCTGTTTGCGTATTTGAGGAGTCAACTCATATTTTTCTGGGCTGAGAAGGCCGCCACCAGCCTGGAGCCGCATCAAACCACTTTTTATTAAAAAACCACCCTTTGGCTCCTGATGTTTTTTATGCTGATTAAGAACACTGACTTGGCTAAACCAACAAGAGGGCTGATTGTTGCTCTGTCTCTTGAAGCAGAAGAGGCTTTTGATCAAGTTGAGTGGGAGTTTGTGTTTGAGGTACTTTAAAAAATGAAATTGGGAGATAAGCTTATGAACTGAATTTGAACTTCATTCCAAGCTCATTGAACAGAAATGTTTCAGATCCTTTTAATCTGGAAAAAGCCCATTGCAATTGCCCTTTTAATCCCTTATTTTTCTTGAAGATAAAGTTCCTTCTCAATTTGCTTAGTGTTTATCTGAGTGAGAAGGGCACTTCAAAAATCGACTTGGAAGCTTAAAGATGTATGTGTTTTTTTCTGAGGGGATAGGTGCTTGGCTCAGCGACTTCTCCCTTTTGCCCGGCACCCAGAGCTAGTGACCGGGGAGAACCAGCTTCTCTGAGACAATCCAGGGTCACGGCTGGATGCGCAGTATGGGCTGGGGGTTGGCTGCACAGAACACAGCTTGTGGGTTGCAATCTCAGTTCCTCCCCTGGCTTCTGAATGACTTTAGGCGAGCCATTTAATTTCCATGTTTGGTCTGCTCCATCTGCCATACAGATCTAATGATACCCCTCCCCTACTTGGCTCATAGGGTTGGCCTAAGCGCTGATTAATGTACAGGGCGGTCAAACATTGCATACATGAGATGAGCTAAGAAAAATGAGACCGTGAGCCTGGAGACCTCTTCCAATTACGGCTGATCTTTCCCTTCAGGAATGAGCTATGCCTATGGTGCTAGTAATTTGGGGCTGTTTCTCTGTTTGTCTTACTAGTTCAACCCATGCTATCATTATTTATATACATAATAACACACATGGTTTAGCACAGATGAAGTCATTGACTTCAATATTTTTTTAAAGCTAATTTTTTTGTTCATTTTCATTTTTAGGGGGGAGGTAATTAGGTTTGTTGGTTGGTTGGTTATTTATTTATTTATTTATTTATTTATTTATTTATTTATTTATATATTTATAATGGAGACTCTGGGATTGAACCCAGGACCTCGTGCATGCTAAGCAGGCACTCTACCACTGAACTGTACCTTCCCCAATATTTCAGTATTTTTTTTGTGTACTTCCTATGTGCCTCACACTCTCAGTACTAGAATTAAAAACCTAAGGAAAAACCAAATGATGAGAAGGTCAAAAAATGTGAACTATTTGTGAGCAAATTCATGTTTATATTTCTACTGTTCACACATGATTTATTTGTCTGAACAGAGGCTCCTCCTCTTTTTATCATCAAACTTGTCTGAGGGAAGCTGAGCTTCAGTTCCAGAGTATTTGTGAGAGATGTAGCTCACTTTTTAAAAGGAAAGGCTCCCCAGTAGCCGGTTTCTCATAGAACAATAGTCTCCCTAAAGACATGGTGTTCCACTTCATTAATTTACCACGGAGCTGTTCCCTGCTAAAAGGGGCATTAGCCCAAATTAAGCCCCCCCCCTCCTCTGCAGCGGCAAGCAGGTGGGAAAATTGAGTATCATCCTTGTATCCTCAGCCTAGGGAAGTTAAGCCAGAACTGTATGTGAACTGAAAACCACACTGAAAAGGATTATCTCACACCCCTGAAAGGCCTCATTTATGCACATGTGGAAAGAACTGCTTCCCACACACAGCCCCCACCCCGTGCAGGTGGCCACTGCCTCCAGTGGCTTTACCTTTGAACAGGCAGCGGCAGGGCAGTTCGCGCTTCGGGATCGACAAGAGCTGACATCTCAGTTCAAAATGCCGAAGGGAAAATAAAAAACATAAAATAATACGATGCAGAGTGGGATATCAGGGTTTGGCAACTCTTTTTCCAGTTGCTGGCTTTGGCTCTGAGTAGGGCTTCTGGCTGGCCGCTGTTGGAAAACTTTTGGACTATTTTCGACAGACAGAACAGGCCACATGAAATGTCTATTATTACTTCAGTCTTGGCTGACTCTAGCGCTCAGAACTGGCTGCTTGCTGTCCCTTGTCTTGCAGCGTGCGATTACTGAGCGTCGCTCCGATGCACAGAGACCTCCCCCGGGGCCTCTTTGGGGATCGTTAC